CATTGCACCCGCCGGTTTTACGGTTTTACGTGCGTTGCAAGAGAGCAATGTTGAGGCAAGCGTTCTGTGTCGCGCGAAAAATAAACACGCACGCGAAAGCGGTACACAGATAAAGATCTAGCTTAGGGGCGGACGATACGCCCGCAAGGGCGGACGATTCGCGCGTGTCGACGTTCTATCTGTTCGACGCTGCTGTGCGCCGCGAAAGTTATCCAAGTTTCACCGCGTACAGCAATTTAAAATAAATCTTTCCCTGAGAGAAAGTCGTTAAGATGACGATAACTCCTGGGACCAGCCCCTGTATCTAAGTAATTTTTCGCGGTTACACGCCGTGATAAACGCGGTGTCGGATCGATTGGAGGAAAGAACGCGGCATTTCCCAAGATCCGGGGCAGAGCTTATTCGCGCGAAATCAAAATACACTCGGGCGAGATCTCGTGGAACGTGTCTGGGCGAGAGCGAAGGCTAAACAAAAGGGGAGCAAAATGCAACAGATTGGGTTCGTTTAAGGACAACACTTTGGCGCCTCCAACCCTATTACGGCTTGCATTAAATGAGGCGGCGAGAGAAACCCCGGCAAAGCGAAGACGCGCGCCGCGTGTAACAGGATTTTCTATTTCGTCCCCTTCTTTCGCGCGCCTCCCCCTCACCGTTATCTCACTGTTATTCTATGATTTTGCGTGCATTGTGCTCGTTGGGTGGGGTGTAACATTGCGAAAATACATCACGCGCGTTGTACGCTGCAGATAAAAAACCGGCCAGGCAACCAATTTCACGTAGCGGCGTCGTATCACACAACCGGCGCACGTCAGCGAATTTAAGGGGCGCCTGAATCGTAAGAAATTCGGTATAAGCGGTTCGGGAGAACGCTACCGTATCTTGTAGCAATCACGTGAGCGCAATAACGTGATATCACGATATCGTCCGTTATACGTAGCCCAGCGAATGACCGATAAATCCACGCTTACATTTATGACATGTATAAAAGCAGAACCGACGTCTTTAAAAAGAAAATAATCGCGCAAGAAAGTGTCGGTCTTCGGGAATAATTTATGCATTAAACTGGCTATTTGCCGGACGTGAGCGAAGACGTAAACAAAAAGAAAACAGTGAGACGGAACGAATGAAATCGACGTGTCTCGCCTACTCGCGCCGATCGTCAATTTACGGAATTTCTTGAAAACGCAAATTTCGCGGTCCCGCGCGAACCGGCGGTCGAGCTCTCTGGTAATAGCTTCGATAATACGGGCAAACTTTCGCGTCGGCGCAGTTAATCGTTTCTACATCTCTCGAATCGCGATCGCTTTTCACGCGGAAAATTGCGCCCCCAGCGCGACGAACGGAGCCGTTAAAGCAGGGACAAAAGAAAATGAAAACAAAACACCGACCAGATTGAATTCATTCGGAGACAATACTTAGGCGGTCGTAACCCGTTACGGACGGATCGTAGTAAACTGGGCGTGAAATGCTTTGAGAGTGCGGAGAATTGGAATTACATTTTATCGCAGCTACGCAAATCGATATGGAGAACGTCAATCTACTGAAAATAAACATTTGCTAAAGTGCATTCGATCGGACGGCACGTTGCTATGTGTATGTACGTACATAAAGCTGCGTGTAAAATAAATTATTCGCGCCGTGCGTGCCTTTCTACCTCACTGATATGCCTATTGATGTCTAATGCCGCAAACGCGACTCGCGTTGTTCGAATATTTCGATGCGCAAGTGCACGGGGGATAAAAACGACGGGGGAGGGAAGGATAAATGGCGCGAAGAGGGTTTTCGCTGAGCGGAACAAATATTACAAGACGCGGGAGTCGTCACGGCAGAAATTACAACGTAAAGGTACTTTTACGTAATGCAGAATAAATGTTTTCGTTGGGACGAAAGGTAAATCTTCGCGGGCGCATTCGGGCAATATCGCAGGGGACGAGCTTTTCTCATGGAAATATAATACATTCCGCGTTGTCGCACGCTGGATATGACGACAATCGTTTAAGCTACATTAATAGTACCGGTGGAAGCACTGTGCATTGTGGCCAGGTACAACGGAGATGCTTAAAATAGCTTTAACATCCCAACGAGCAGCTGATACAACGAAAAATTGTGATAGCACATTAACAGATAGTTACTGGCGATTAGATAACAGTGATAGTCGATGAATATTAATGCCGTTTAATTCGCCACGCACGCAATTAATGCGTGGCAAAATATTTATTTTGCGCCGTTAAAGCCCAAAGGTTGGAGTATTATTAATACGTTGTATAAACGGCTCCTTCCCCGAGAGATTTGGGAATTAAAAATACCTCATGCTAATGCCGCGGTATATTAAACCCATTCGCGAACGTTACTTTTCTTCCCCATTGCATAATTGCGTAATAAGGAGGTTACGAAGTACATCGTAAAGTCCAACATTCGCTATTGCCTTTCTTCCTTCGCGCTTTGTTCCAACAGGAAAATGTACGCGGAATAAGCTCTACATTAAGGAAAATAGATTCTAATGTCTATAATTAAAGGGAAATTAGGACATTGCGAACAAGAACGTGATTACATGGAATACGGAATATAAATTCTGGCGCAAAGAACAGGATTAATTTAGCCTTGTCATGTAAAAATCAATAGTTAACTTTAAATCTCTTGCTGCAGCGCATGATTGCAACTAACGAACATACACGGAGAGAATTTTCCCTTAAAATTTACCCTGCAAATCGTGCAATCGTGGGACAACATGGCATTTTCAAGAACTTTAAGAGAGGTTTTTCAAAATTTTACCATACGTTTTACCAGTAAAATGTGCACTAAGTATAATTTTCTCATAAATTTCTCCAAAATGCCAAATCATCCCACGATTACATGATTTTCAGGATATATTTTAAGAGAAAATTCTCCCCGTGTAGAAATAAAATCGACAATTTTGCGATTTATTAAAACAGAAGTAGACAAATCGGATTTGATGAAATCTAGAAATCAGTATTTAAATTCTCTGTCTGAAAAAGTATCAAGTTGACGTTTTTATTGAAACTTATTATTGCGGAATTCGACAAATATAAACCCACCAATTTTGAAAGATATTAGTAAAATAACATATTTCGTTTTCATTCCCGTTGTTTTACTAGAAAATCCGTGTGCGCTCTATCGGTATTTATGAAAATACGATTACACCGAAATATTGCAAACAATATTAGAAATAAAAATAAATACACGTCTATTAAAAAATTCTCTAGCAATTTACTTGAAATAGATAGCAAATATTGTCCCTTTTTTTCGTTCATTTCAAGAGAGTTTCACTTAAATTGAAATGTAATTAGAATTCTAGTTACTTAAATATCTAAGGTGCAATCTCAAATTGTTAATTAAGCCGTAATGAATCTCAAAAAGCCACAATTGATAACAGCTCTCATTCGTGTTTAAGGTAAATTGATATTATTTCATTCCATGTTCTTCGTTTCGCATTTTTATTTTCACTCTGTACTTTTCTTGAAATCTACTTTAGGTAAATGCTGCTTCGATTGAGAATCGACTCAGAATTGATAATTGATATCGCAATGTAAGATAACGTATCGATGTTTTATGCATAAAAATAACGTCGATCCATCTTTCTCGATTTCTTATATTATGTTTCGAACTCTTTACGATTTTGATTGAGCACGATGGGCTCTTTGGGGAAAAATCCGTATACGCAGCAGCTTCTAGAAAATGATCGCACAGACCAGGGGTTTTATTGCTGCCCCTTCTTAGTCGGGCGAGACTGCTTAAAGGAGCGTCTTTTTACTGTTACTATAATGAATACGGACATAAATTCCCGTCGAAACGGAGGGCGTACCAAGCTTTCCGATTTAATATTTAATAGCCTCGTAAAATGTACCTTGCTTTAAATTTGAGTAAATCCATAACGCAAATATAAGATGTCCTTAGATTCAAGGACGTCGCTTTCCTATAAAACGAGATATTGATTTGTACTATTTCCAGTCGTAACTGAAAATAATATTTCATAGTTTGTATATAACGTATAGGCAATATATATAAGATATCAATATAAAAAATACCTATCGGAAAGAGAAATGTTAAATAAAGTTTCCACATAAGAATGCAGTCTTTGAAAGTATACAAGATTAGAACAACTTTATCAAACAATGTCTGAATTAGGTCAAAATTTGTTAAGTGTCGGTCGACGATTTATCCTTCATAAAAAAATACATAAATATGGAGGCGAAGAAATCGCGTTTTAACGGCAATTAATTTTTAACATGTTAAAAAAACTAAAATCTCTGTCCATCCGCGACGCAGGGCGAGCATGCGATTTACTATCGCGGAATGGACCGTTCGCGTCGAATTGCTCATGGAAAAAAAATCGTGTTTAACAATATACAACCTCGCCGGCGTGGTACGTCCATCGGAATCGTCGTTTCGCGAACCGTAATACACCGCTCCAAAAACGCATCACTCGGAATGCATACACGGTTGCGCGATTGTTGACAATCGCTGCGGCAAACGTATCGGCGTATCGGCGAACCATCGTATTTTCTGCTTATTAATCGTAATATCGCATCTTCGTGATTAATTCAGCTATGTATCCAGGGACGAGCGATGGTTTCTCGAAATCTCGAACTAACACGATTTTGAAACTTTAATCACCTTCGAAGAATATACCTGCGCTATTAGATACGCGGTTACATGACGATTCAAATTTCTTTTAAACATAGAGACGCTAAAATAATCTTTAATGCATAAAGCCGTACGGCATAACGAATTATTGAGTAAGTCACCAGCTGAAAAAGTTACGAACATTCCTCGTTAATTCGACATCGATCGATGTTATTTTCGCAAGATTCCAATTCCACACTTGAAGAAGTAAGGAATTTTTTCGTATTTGGAAACTCGGACGAATCTCTTGACAATCTTAAGCCAACGGTACACGAAACTATTTCTCCTACTGGATCGCTTGCGAGAGCCAATAAGGATACAGAGCTCGGGATCAGGTGACTTAAGGCTGAATCCTGATTGGTTCTCACAAGCAATCCAGTGGGGGAAAAATAGTATCGCGTGCCGTTGACTTTAACAGATCGGCGAATACTCTCGATCAAAATTGTCCCGCGAAACAATCGCTCGTGGTTATAGCCACGGGTCTCAAACTCAAGTTTCACCGGTATCTGGACAGATCCACCCCTGGGGTGCATCCCCCTATAGACCGCGATCGCCGCCGCGCTCGCGGTAATGCGTCCCGCGCGCGTATCGCTCACGATATACAAATATACAATGCATCGGTCGTATACACGTATATATGCGCTTATGTACGATACATAATCGCGGAGTGCGTACATAAGCGGGGGAAACGCGCGTGTGCGCGAGTGTAACGACGTCACCGAGCAGTATCTCTGTTACGCCTGGATTGCCGTGGACTGTGGCCGCGCTCACGCATCGCTTAACATAATCCCCCATTCGACCGGGACTACATAGATTACGGAATGATACCTCCGACGGCCACTGTACAATTATATCGGCGCGGTATTGTACACATATATCCGCGGCGCGGCGGCGTCGGCGTCGCGATGCGCGTGAGCTTCGCGCGCGTACATTTCCGGAAAGGGATCGAGATAAAGGGGTGGTCAAGGTGTTTCGATATCCAGATGGATGATCTCCACGAAGCAAATCCAGGCGTCCCGTTACCGAAGCGAGAGGGGGAGAGAGAGAGAGAGAGCCGCAGGGCTGTTGTGTCGAGAAAGATCGGATTTTGTGGCCGACGGCCACCGCTCGTCCTTTTGGAGGAAAGATCAATGGTCCGCTCGACAACGAGAATCATATTGCCACTGTAATGTCTCGAAGAAAGAAATATGTCTCCGTTCGTACGTTTATTAACAGGGAAAAGCTTCTTTTTTATCTTGGGAATTAAGTGCCGGGAACGCGAACTCGATATTTTCTGTTAAAATAAACGCCAGGATCGTGCAGCTTCGCTATTCACGTACCGTTTTTCAGTGAAAACGTCGCGTTGGCCGCGCACGGTCGGAGTTTCCAATTTTGAGGCGACGCGAGGCTTCGGTGCGAAATTTTCCGTCCAAATAATATTATACTTCTCGCGTGCCATATCAGATTTCTCACGTGTATTAATCTCGCTTTAAACTTGTACCCCATTGAAATGCGAACGTAATTAACAGCTTCTGTTCGGAAAATATTGCAATTTATCACTGCCGCGGATATAATTGTTAAGTGGAAGAATTCACTCTGCGCGTAATGAAAATTTCACTGAAACGTATTAAATATAAAACTTCAATTTTAAGTTGCGCCGGCGTAAAAGGGCTAATAACGATAACTAGTGTGACAATTAGCGTAAACTACGGCAGAACGCCGAGATTCTGATATGTACAATGGCGCGTGTAAAGAGTAATGAATGAGAAGAGCGGAAGGCAATTAACTTGCTGCGCGGAGACTCTTCGCCGGAGAGAAATGTTACTGCGCTTCACACATTCGTTTCTTTATACATAAAGTAATTTAATTTTGCACCCGTATATTAATCCAATTCCGACCTATTGTTCCTGCAATAGTAATAGTGTGCTCTGCGCGCGCGCGCGCGCTTGTAATTGCATAAAACAATTCTTCTGTAGCAATAACCGAGATCGTTTCATTAATAAGCGCAAACGGCAGTCAGATGAGAGTGGTAATTTTCAGATAATCAAAAGGAATCGTATAAATCGCGACACGTTATCAGTCTCTTCGAGTCTATACACGCTAGAGTTATCTTACGTTACAATTGTAATCGGAATCAGTCCTGTATGCAGCATCTGTATCGAGTGACGGCAGTGGAAATTGCAGATGTATAATTGACGTTGAGAACGAATTGAGAAAGAGTTTCCGTAGATCATTTAATTGGCGAGTAACAATGTCCTGACGTACATGATAATTAAAAATTGTCAGTAGCGTTTTAACCGCAAAAAAATATATATATACATACCTATATATGAACGCTTAATTAAACGCGAAGGACGTTTAATGAATGCGGGGTATTCGTAAATTTTCACGGGGCAATAATATGTCGTCACGACGGATCGGACATTCGAAGTTGATATAAATTTTATCGGACAATAATGTTCCCTGATCTGCAATAAATTTAATTTTGGTCCATATAACTGACAACCTGCGCGCAATAAAATTCGTACAAAAGCAGCGCTCGGCTTCTTGTCATTACTCGTACAAAAGTGTCTGCTTTTACAAAATGTCTGTGTTTTGCAGGGGCGCATTGTAAAGTGACACCTGCATATTTATTCGCGCGCTCGCACAGTGCGTATCGAGATATATTTAAATCCCGGCGAGGCATTTCACCTCGTTATAACTTTATTTTGAGTTTCCAGTTTCGCATTTTTGTCGAAGGCAAAACGCGAGATTATACCGAGTTTTCTTTTTCGCGAAAAATTCTCAATGACTCTTACGTCATTGTCGCGCTCGCGCTATTTCGAGGAGTCGTGACCGCGCCCCCGCCATTTTTCACGTGCCGAGGCATTAATCAAATTCCCTCCCAGTTCTCTGGAGAGATCTCTCGGACGCCTCCTCATCGCCTTGGTTCTCGCTTGGAGGTGCGTCGGTTTACACGTAAATCCACACACGTCGAGGAAACGCACAATTCTTTCGTTTGATTACTTAGTTTATTATGCTTCTTTTGTTATCTCTTTACATTACGGAACAACGATTCTTGAGTATAGATGGAAAAAAATATTTATTGGATTTTATTCGACACAATATCGTAACAATGTCTTAAAAACGTATATTAAAGCAGAAGGTTGAAGCGATCTCCGCGGTTTTCGAATTGTATCACATATGACGCTTGTATGGTAACGCATGTAATATTAATGATTAAAAAAACAAAGTAAAATCGCAAAAGCTGTCGCGAGAGGTATGGCGTTATATAACCGAATAACGGAAATTGACTCGAATATTAGCTCGTCTTTGTTTAAAATTATCTCGAATACTTTCAAGTGTATCCGCGGCACGTCATGAAACATTAATATTTAAGATACTTATTGGTATCGCGGCTTGTCGATTAGTATACGTCGGCATCGTCCCGCTCTTTCTAGCTGTCCGTTTAAATTTTAAACTTTGGCGTAGCTGAGACCGAGCGGAGCGCAGTAGCTTATCGATCCCCGCGCGCGAAAACGATTTCATAGAGAATTATACGACGTCCATAACGAAGAACAGACTTTATCGAGCACAGCCAGGTATTTCAGGGTATCATCTGCGGGAGGGCCGTTTAATAAGAATAAAATTACGTAATACTTCGGTGTCGTTGTGAAAATCTCTCAATCCGATTCGCGACGATCGACCGTTCGATCGACGAGCGGTACGTAAAGCAAAATCGGAATCCATTTCAGATCGGAATAGATTAGTGTCTGTCGGTCGTAAACCAGTTACCCGTTACCAGTTACCCGTTCGCGAGCACATTTCCTGTCCATCAGCGCTCCATAATCCGCGGCTCCGCAAAAAGCGCGCTCCCCGCGAAAGATACGCGACGATATCATTTTTAGGAACCGGCGTCCCCCTCGCGCATCGCCGACGGGTCCCCTTTCCTCCGGGATGAACGGCGGCTCTTTTCCTTGCGACGGACGTCTTAATTCGCTGTCTGCGGTACGTACGGGGGCATGTACGGCCCCGTGAGAATGTACTGCACCGCCACGACCATCAACTGCGGCGCACTCCATCTGATGATGTATGCGCTTCCTGAAACAGAAATGCATTTCGCGTGTTACTCGGCGCCGTTATGCACGAGGCTTCTACGTGCGCGAGTTTATATATACAGGATGGCCCAGGTGCGCCGCGGTTCCTTTTACACCAAGTGTCTTGGATTAATGTGGAGTCCATATTTTTCTTAAGCGGGCTTTTGCTCGTTCAGTTGTAGGGCAAAAATGTATGAATTCTGACTGAGTTGGGTTTTAAGCGCTGCTTATTTCAAGATACCGTTCGCTGTGTTAAAGGGGGGGAGGGGGGAGATAAAAAGAGAGCTGTCCTCAAGTCGCCATGAAATTCATACTACTGTGATAAGGGCATCTTACGAAGACACCCTGTATATTAGATGATCCACCTGCGGCTGCCGCCATTCTTCTTCACGCAAAGAGGAACGCGGGTGGGTCCCTATGGAAATGCCGTTTCGACCGTTTAACGCCCTCGCCTCCACGTTTCTTTCCGCCTATCTCCTTTAACTCAAGAACGCGAGCTTTTTACGTCATTTTTCAAAACAGCACCTTCTTTATTGCAATTTTCGTGTGACAGAAATGTTTCTGCTTTCCTCGATTCAATTTGAATTTCTGATCAGAAACTCGCTTCCCGCCGAATTGGGAATCGCCAATATTCTTTATATTGATCGCACCATTTTTGCCACTCGTAGGTTTCAATATAACGAGATCTCCGGAGATCTATAATTCTATGACTAAAAGATGACGAAAGGAAGTCATCGATGCCGACTTTTAACAGACTGACACGTACAGAGGGTAATGCGGGATACCGAATAGTGATGAAGTTATATATTCGTTTAAACATGTCTGATACTACAAGCTCCTTTGATGTATAATAAAACAAATGTACATGCAATTTTCTAGCGCATACATACGTTGTGCATCTAGAAGAAGATTTAGTTACGTTAAACAAATGTGATACGTTGAAATCATATATTTCTTTGAATCTACACCCACAGAAAAAATTTCCGAATCCAATGCTATTACACTTAAATGTATCATAAAATAGGATCGATATAGCGCCAATCACATTTATTATAGAGAAAGGAACATTTTAATCTTAAATGAAAACTTTCAAAATCTAGAATAAAATGGTAGTATGTATCGTCTGTTGTGGAATATCGTGGCGCCGACTTCGTGCGTTGTAAGATGGAGAAAAAATTTATCCTAAACGCAAAAATATATAAGGTTACATTTATATAAGTTACCCTTGTCTCAATACAGTAAGTCAATCTTTTTTTAATTCGATAGAGGAGAAATAAGAATTATTGATTTTATTTTGATATCGTCTTATTTTTATACTAAATGAGATTGCGAGAAATATAAATGCGTAAAGAATATTTTTGTCTCGGTAAAAGAAATCCTTTCTGAGGGTGTACTAAGGTTTTAATTACTTCTACTAAAACATTTGCTAGATTCGAAGAAATAGATATGAATTCTCCTAGAAATTCCAGTCTCGATCGAATTGAATTTCGGTTAGTGGAAAGAAATCATTTCTTTGAAATTAAATAAAAGCCTAGTGAGGTCAAAGTTCAAACAAATTTGTTTAATTTCAAAGAAACTTTTTTCTGGATGTGCAAACCGACGAAACCGAGATAACGCGGTAATATTGAAGTTCGGTGGCGCACACATCCAACGATATATATTTATAAATTCACCTTTATTACAATACAAAGTGCGATTAAAACGTTCTGTCATCAAGTTAACGAGTCATCTACTTCGCTTCCATTTTAAAACCAACTGAACGAAAATGTCATCCGCGCAAAACACACCACGCCGTGTACTTGCAAAATGCGTTGGCCGTAGAATACCGCCGGTGTCACTCGCCGTGTACGATTTGCATATCTCCCTCTACATTCATTTACATGCTGAACGCACGAAAAGACTGTTCCTCGCTCCCATAATATCATAATATTAACGCTTGGTGTACATTTTAACGCGATTTCGGAAAGCGTACATATATAACGCCGTATCGCGGAATCGGTTGGGAAAGCGCTGTAAAATATTTTCAAGACGATGCTCGAATCTACGACGTTAATTTCTCGGCGACTGCGATCAGGCTGTAAAATAACGAGCAATTGCGAAGGCGTACTATTAAGGTGGTGAATAATTTATACCGTGAACGCTCGGGAAATCAGTAGGACGTCGCTAATAGCTCGCAGTTCCCGAGGGAGCTTACGGTTAATCTGATTAATCAGCTCGATATGTGTCGATAATTAATCACGCGCTATAGGATTAGATGTTTAGATATTTTTAATGTGCAGACCTTCTTATACTGTCAAACGGAGTAATCCGTACGTTTTTTTTTCTCTCGCGCGATACTCGAACGGTTTGTCTCTCGGTTACTAGAGCTTGAAACGATCGCCCTCCGATGTGCATTACATATTCCGCGGATCAAAGGCATCGAAATCTCTCGTTAAAGTACACGGCGCAAATATCCGTCTTAAACCACGGCCGTATATTTCGCTAAAAACTGTTACATTTCACAAATTTGACTTACACCACTTACAAAGTAAACGGTTCGCTTAATCTCCCTTTTTTTTCCTTAGAATTCTAACCGTTTTACAAAGCTCGTTATCTCGGTAATTACGTGCGGGTAGGTTAAACGGCGGCTGGAAATTGGCCGTGCGAAACTTTAAATCCCGTTTAGAAATTTCACGGTCTATATTTTCACGATACCTTTCGACCGGATCGACGCGCGTGTGCGAGTTGGTGAGAGAAAACTATATGCAGCTTGACTCTGCGCGCTGCGAAAAGCGGCAGGGGCCGCGGGGAGGAGGGAGGGACGGTTGAAGGCTTCTGGATAAGCGAGAGAGACCCGGAGTTTCCAGCGGAACTTTTCGTCCCAAAATCCCCCGGGTGTGTCTCGAGTGCCATCCCTGATCCCGGCCTCAGCCGAGCGAAACTACAGCGGAGAGATCTCTTTGCTTTTTCGATAGACATGCGCCATCGGGATGCACCGATGCGTTCGTCGGAATATCGCGCAACGCTATCCGGGATTATCCGAAATGCCTCTCGAGTTCCGGACATAATTCTCGCGCGATTAATTGTTGACTCGTCCAGAATCTCCGGCGTGGCGTTTCTAGCTTTAACGCGCCTACTGCATCGAGAAATGTCTCTTGAATTAATTAACTGTAAAAAGAGGAAAACGTGAGTTTCGTTGCTCGCGATCCTCTTACTTCTTTAAGAATAAGTCTCTTACGCACGGAGAGAATTTTCTCTTCGCTCTCTAAATGTCAATCAGTAGATTACAGTGAGTATTCACTGTTTTCAGTGATAATTCACTGATTGATTTTTAGAGAGTAAAAATTACGTGATCGTGGGACAACGTGGCATTTTCAAGACCTTTATGAGAGTTTTTAAAAATTTCACCATTTTACTAGTAAGATATCTACTAACAAAGTATAATTGCTAGTGAAATGTATGGTAAAATTTCAAAAAGCTCTCATAAAATCCCTTGAAATGCCGTGCTGTCCCTCGATTGCATAATTTTCAGGATAAATTTGAAGAGAAAATTCTTTCCGTGCAGAGTTGTAAATATCTGCATAAATTAAACGGAGACGAAATGCTCGTAAACAACACGAAATAAAGATCACGCCAGTATCGAGATAATCTGAGAATATAATTTTCGTGAGAAATCGATTTATCACGATCCACGGTCACATAACGATTCCAATTTTGGAGAATAGCCTCGGGTCAAATCAAATTTTACGATGAGAAATCGCGGAATACACACGAGGACATCGTATAAGTAAAACAACACATGACGCACAAAATGTGTTTTACGATATCTCAGCTGTCTCCGTGCAATATCGACGAAAGTTTTTCCCCAACTAGTGCTTACGCATTTATTCACAGGGGTATCATCTACCGTGCATGTATCGCGTTCTCGCCGTTATCATCCCGAGTCAATACTCGTTCTCCGAAGCAACCTGTGCTCTGGAGAACGTGGACAATCTCAAATTGTCCGCGGAAAAGGAGTGGAAAGGACATTCTCTCTCTTTCTTCCTTTTCCGAATGTTTCCATAAGATTTTATTTACGTTGCGGTCCCTGATTTATCGTCGATCCGGCTCACGCATTCGCGTTCGCGCTCGCGCTACTATATTTCCCCGTACGAATCCGTACGGAAGTGTATACCGGGAAATATATCGGTCGTTCCCAGCGTAGCGTTAGACGTAGCGTAGGGGGATGGGCGGCAGGGTGCCGCCTGCAGGCTTCTATCGTGGACACAGGGCGGTATAACAGATTACTCCCTATCACGTCCAATATGTCAAGCCGCGCGGACGACGAGGAGTCAAGCATTATATTGCAAAATAAAATGGCTCGCGTGTGGCGTCCCGGTGCATACACACCGCGCTCGCTACCCTCGATCCTCTCCCCCCCCCCTCCCCACCGGGCATGAAATATCGCGATGCGCCGGTCGGGAACATGATGTGCGTATTATTGGCACTTTCGTCGAAGAATTATGTATTTTTTCATATTTGCGCCTGGATAGTCCGCCGTCAAGGGCGAAACGAGACGGCCTTGCAAAACGCATGGACATATAGAATGGACTGAGTATTACGCGGGACGAACCGGCACTACACTAGAGAGGGGGGAGAGGGAGGGAAAGACAGGGAGAGACGCGGAGAGACAGGGAGAG